TTTGAAAGGCAGTGTAGTACAGTGGAAAGAATAATAGATTTGGAGTTAGCAAGCCTTGGTACAAATCCAACCTCTGATACCTAGAGCTTGTGTGTCCCTAGGCAAGTCACCTAACCTTGAGAGATTTCGGTTTCTTCACAAATAAAATGAGGTGGTGAAACTCGACAGTCTCAGTTTGAGGTCCCTTCCAGCTCTCGGTCTCCTTTGGACACATAATCCCCTATTTAAATTGCTCTCCCATCTTACCTTCTGCTCACTAGAGTGCTTTGCTTCCTCTGAAGCACAGTTCAATTGCCATGAAGCTTTTCCTGATGCTCTTAATTATTGGTACTTTTGACACAGAGAATAATTTTGTAAAATTTTGTACTTACTTATCTGCATAAGTACCAATAAAACCCTAGGACAGGGCCATGCCCATAATAACAACAGTATTTGACTTTCACTGATTTCAGTAATGTAGGGAACTCCCACATGAGGGACACCCTTTACTATGGCAGGTCTATACCCCTCCCACAACTTAAAAGGGGAGAGAATTGCCTAAAGGACTGAAAGTATAAGTGACTTGTCCAAAATCACACAGCCAGTATGTGTCAACATGTCTGGATTTAGAAATGGGAGGGACCATTGAGTACAACCCATTCATTTTTACAGATGAGAACCCAGGTCCTTCTAACTCCCTGGCCTGTTATCTCTCCACTTCACCAAAGTTGCTTCTGCCCATGGGATGTTCTTAATAAATGTTTGTATAATTGAATTTAATTGAGGTGAAATGATTTCAATGAGATTCATCTTGTAGAGGAATTTGTAACTTTAAAGTCCTGTGTAACAATTACTATTGGCAAAATGCTACAAGAATGGAGCCATTATTTTTATTATCATTTGGTGATAGATGATTTGTACAATTTCAGGCACTATTTAATGGCTCTTCCTATTATCATAAGTTTTTGAAGATTCTTTGTTCTTTTTGAAGCTCTTTATAAGATTGCAAACATAATTAACAATACCCTGGAAGAGAACACAATGGGGTTTTTTTAGATTCTTAGAATCACACAATATTTTTCCTCTACAAAAGCAATCCCTGCTAAGAAAACATGCTATTTTTTCTAGAGATCAGGGTTTCTATTGAGTGATAATGTACACAGGACCTCAGAGCAGCTCCCTTTGTATTTCAGATCTAGTTTTTAATTTGCTGAGTAAAAGACTGCTACTGTGACAACAGCCCCTTAGCTAAGAGGGGACTCCCATATCCTTCTGCCTCCCATTTAAACCAGTAAGAATGAAGTATGTTCAGATAGTACTCCCCAAAAAAGGAGAGGAATCATGCTAGGGATTCTTTATATGACCTTGGACTTTCAGGCTTTAGCCAGTGATCATATAGAAACAGTCTTTAGCAGCCTAACCTAAACCCCATTCCTACACAATTTTATAAGAAATAAATTCAACTTTATTTCAGTTTTACAAAAATAGAAACCAGTTACAGAGCAGAAAATTCAACTCTGGTTTTGGCTTCTTGCTGTGACCACCTCAAAAGTGACTGTGGGTCCTGATCATATTACAATATCATAAATTTAGAGCTGGGGGGCCTTAGAGGCCAATGAGTCCAATCCTCTCATTTTCCAGACGAAAAAAGTCACTTAAACTTGGTAAATAGAGAAAAGAATAGCACCTACCTCCCAGGGTTTTTATGATAATAAAACAATATATTTGTAAAACACTTGGCAAACCTTAAAACACTAAATAAATGCTAGATACTATTATTATTATTACCCAGGATCACACAGTTAGTAAGGGTCTAAATCAGGATTTGAATTGTCTTCCTAATTCTAAGTCCAGAATGCAATGAACTGCATTACTGACCTGTTGCTATGGTCCTGCATGAAAAGATAAAATATCAAACTTCTAAATTTATTTCTAAAATTTTGCTTTGTTTTGTTTTCACCGTTTACAGGGAACAATATGGTTTGTTTGTTTTTGGAAGAAGGGAATAAAGAGAAAGAAACCAAGGTAATAGGTTGTAAACGCTAGGCATCTAGGTGATTCAGAAGATAGAGTGCCAACCTGGAATTAGAAAGCCCTGAGTTCAAACCTTACCTCAGATTCTTACTAGCTATGTGACCCTGGTGAAGTCACTTAACCTTTCTCAGACTGAGTTTCTTCATTTTCAAAATAAGGGTAATAATTGTACCTACCTCCAAGGTGTATCGAGAGGACAAAAAGATAATATTTATAAAGTGAATACTACTTACTATTGTCATTATTATCATTACTTTAAATTTATTCTTTTAAAGAACTTTCCATCATGCAGAATTGGAAAACTGATCAATTAATCTGGCATCTTACAAAAGGGGGAAAAATCCTTGCAAATAAATCTTGACAAACTTCCAAACAAAAAATTTCTTTTAAATGGGTATTTTTGGTGTCTGTCTCTGTGTTCCTCTTCACGTCCTTCTCCTAGTCTCCCTGACTGCCTCTGGAATCTCCACTAAAATACCATCTTCTATAGGAAACCTTTCCTGATCTACCTTCATTCTACTGCCTTTCTTCTAATAATTATCTCCAAATATTCTGCATATAACTTATTCGTACATAGTTGTTTGCACGTTATCTCTCCCCCTTACTGTGAACTCCAGTGAAAGCAGGGATAGTTTGGAACTTTGTGGGGTTTGTTTGTTTTTTGGGGGGGGAGTTTTTTACCTTTGTATTCCTAGCACTATGCACAGTGCCTGACACATCATAGATGTTTAATTTATGCTTTTCGACTGACACTGTGCTGTAAATTTTAAAGAATCCTAGAGTTGTAGTACTGCTTAGCTGAAAGAGGGCCTGGAGATTGACGAGCCCAACTTTCTCATTGCAGAGGGTAATGATAACCAAGATTCAGTAAATTGTTCCAGGTTATCCAGGTCACGAGCAGTGAAGTCCAGACTAGAACAACCTAGACCTCTGACCACCTGAGTCAGTTTCATTCGCTACTGTTTTGTTTGATCAAAATCCTCCTCTGATGCCTGGTGCCATGTTGAGGAAGCAATCAAAGGCCATATCAACAAAACAAATTCTTCAATTCCTTTTATTGTTGTTTATTGTTCAATCATTTCAGTCATGTGTGACTCTTTGTCTTTTGATCCCATTTGGGGTTTTCTTGGAACAGATACTGAAGTGGTTTGTCATGTCCTTCTCCAAGCTCATTTTACAGATGACAAAACTGAGGCAAGCAGAATTAAGTGACTTGTCCAGGGTCACATAGCTAGTAAGTGTCTGAGGCTGGATTTGAACTCAGGAAGATGAGTATTCCTGTACTCTTCAATTCCTACCAGACTGGAAAAAGACGTGAATAGGGGCCCTATGACAGACTCTGTATCTATCCTATCTGGATCAGTCTACCTAAATTCTAAAAGATTTCTCAGTAGACAGGCTGCAGGGTGATTAATTTTTTTGCCACAGCAAGTCTTAGAGACCATCTCCTAAGTGGTACAGGGTTTGGGATCTGCCATGGTGGAGGAAGTAATTCCACTCCCTCCTTCTTCACCTGCAGCTCTTGACATGACAAACTTCCTTCAGATCTCAACTGGAGAGTCACCTCCTATAGCAAGCCTTTCCTAGTCATTCATTTATTATCATCATTGTTGTTAATAATAATAGCTAACATTTATGTAGCACTTACTATGTGCCAGGCCCTATCCTAAGTGCTTTAAATTATTATTTTATTTGATTCACATTCAACAAATTCTTTTGGACTTACTTTTTATATAATATATGGCAGGTAGCAGCAGAGTAGATAGAATGCTGGGCCTGGAGTCAGGAAAATTTGAGTTCAAATCCTGCCCTAGATACTTACTAGCTGTGTGGCTCTAGATAAGTCACTTAATTTCTCTCAACCTCAGTTGCCTTCTCTGCAAAATAGGTATAGCAGAAGAAATTACCTGCCAGGGTTGTTGGGAGAGTCAAACAAGAAAATATTTGTAAAGTGCTTAGCATAGTGCCTGGCACAGAGTAAGTACTAGATAAATAAATATTATTATTATTGTTATTGTTATTAAGTAGTACTGAAGTGACAAAGTGGATAGAGTGCTGGGCCTGGAGTCAGGAAGATCTGAATTCAAATCCAGCCTCAGACACTAGCCTTGTGATCCTGGGCAAATCCCTTAACCTTGGTTTGCCTCAATTTCCTCATCTGTAAACTGAACTGGTAATAGCACCTACCTCCCAGGGTTGTTGTGAGGAGCAAATGAGATATTATTTGTAAAGCACTTAGTAGAGTGCCTGGCACGTAGTAGGTGTTACATAAATGTCAGCTATTATTATCAGCCTATATAAAGCAACTTGTAAATTTTAAAGCACTATGTAAGTGCTAGCTATTATTACATACCTTATATTTACTTCTCTGTGTATGTATGTACATATGTATATATGTATGTATATACACCCACATACATGCATACATACATACACACATACATACATACATACATACATACATACATACATACATAGTCTCCCTCCAATAAAATGTAAGGATTTTGAGAGCGGGACTGGTTTTCATTTTGTCTATGTATTATCAGAGCCCAGATTGTTATCTGGAGCATAATGGCTATATAATAAATTCTTGCTGAATGAGTGAATAAATGAATGAATCTTTCAAATACTGGCCTAAGTACCTTACTTCCACAAACCTTTCAGAGACCTCATGGAGCAGTGGAAAGAATGCTGGGTTTAGAGTGAGCAAACCTGTAGGGTTTTACTACTTACCTTCCCAGGGGACTTAGGTCATGTCATTTGGTTTCTCGGGATCTCAGCACTTCAAGCAGAAGGCTTCCAGGACTCTTTACCATTTTAAATGCCATTAAATCCCAACTCTTTAATTCACCTGTATCATCTTGAACAAGTCACTTACTTTCCTCCTATGTAAAGTGAAATGACTAGACCAAATGACTTCTGGGAACACTGTTGGCAATGACTTTATCATTCTATGAAATAAAAGTTTGACATCTCAGGAAGAAAACTGACTTTTGCATGTGTTAAAAATCTTACTTTAAAAAGATAACCTCCCTTCACCACCACCCCAACCCTTATATACTCTCTCCAGTTAAGCATTCGCTATCCCTAATAAATCAGCCGGGATGCTTTTTTTAGCAAAGTTGATGTGATACAGTTCAGAAACAATCCTTCTTCCACAAGGGAGAATCCCACAGGCCTGGGATATTGTGGTTCAACTGAGGATAAAACTGGTTGGTTCAGGCTGTTGTGTCAGAGCCCCACCTTTGTCCTGAAGCTGTAAAAGAAAAGAGGTCAGTAACAGAATCAGTCTTCTAAGGGGAGAGACGCTGAAAGAGTTGAGGACCGACCAGAGAGCAGCAGAGCTAAAAACAGACTCAGTCCATGGAGTAAAATGTCTGAGGGTGAATGCTTGTCTCCCCAAGGAGGGCTGTCTTGAGGCAGAGACCCTTTACAAGTGTTATGGACAGTAGCCCACACAGCCCAACTAAGCAGCACAGTGTATAGAGTTCTGAACTTGAAATCAAGAAGACCTGAGTGTAAATCATGCATCAGACACATACTACTTGTAATGCCCATGTGTAAGTCATTTAAATTCTCTGAGTCTCAATTTTCTCATTTGTATAATTAGGCCGTTGAACTTAAAGGCCTGAATGAAAGTTCTCTTTCAGCTCTAACCCCATAATTCTAAAGGTCTGGGACCCCAAGTTCTTAACCCAGCAGTGGATAAAAAGGGATATAATTGGTGTAGCCAAAAGATAGTAGCTACGTTATACTACCACTTGTCCTATAACCCAAAGAGAGCAAAGGGAAAAGAATCCAGATATATAAAAATATTTATAGTAACACTTTTTGTAATAGCAAGGAACTGGAAAGTAAGAAGGCACCCATTAACTGGAGAATGGATGAACAAATTATGCTATATGAATGTAAAGGAGTACTGTGCTGTAACAAATGCTGAAAGGATCAGTTTCTGAGAAGCCTGAGAAGACACATGAACTGATGCAGACTGAAGTGAGCAGAACCAGGAAATTAATTTGTACTATAACAAAAACATAGAAAAGACAAACAACTTTGAAAGACTTAGGAACTCAGGTCAGTTAAATGACTAACTACAATTCCAGAGGACTCATGATGAAGCACACTCCTAACAGAAAGGTGATGGACTTAGGTTGCAGATTAAGACATATTTTCAGACATAGCTGATGCAAGAATATATCTAGTTTGACTATATACATGTATTAAAAATATTTTATTTTTATTTCTTGTTCAATGGGGAAAGGGAGAGAATAGAGATAGAAAACAAATGTTTGTAAATTGAAAAACATAAATTTAAGAGATGACATCTGAGTAGAATGGAACTAAATGGTGAAATGGTAGTAGTTCCTGAATGCTAGCTGTCTGAAAAGGGATTAAGTATTCTGGGCTCCAACCTCCTAGATAAAGGAGGGAAATTTTCCCGTACAATGTCAAGTTTCTAGAAAGTTCAAGAACCCTCTGTCCTAGAGAGAAAAATTCTAGAGCAACGCCAGACTCTTAAGAAGAGAATCTTGCAAACAGCCCCAGAAATGAAAGAGCAACAAGAGAATGAGCTCAGCAAGAAACAAGAAAACAAAGGACCTAGACTTGACCCTCTGCTATGACCATGAGGTTTTTTTTGGCTAACTCACTGCCTTTCCCCCAAAACCCACTCCTCTTCCAAATTTCCCCACTTTCTGTCAAAGGTGCCACCATTTTTCTAATCCTTTGGCCTCATTCTTGATCCCTCCCTCTCCCTCACCCCACATATCCAATCAGTTGCCAAACCTTGCTGTTCCTCTCTGTAACATCTCTTGAATCCTACCCCTTCTTTCTACTGACACAGCTATCATCTTAGCGCAGCATCACATCACCTTTGATCGAGATTATTGCAGCAGTCTCCTGGCTGGTTTCTTTTTGTCAAGCCTCTTTCCACCTAGGAGCCTCTTCCACACTACTAACAAAATGGTTTTCTTCAAGTGCAGCTCTGACTATGCCACTCCCCTTTTCAATCAACAACGATAGCTTCCAGTAGCCTCTAGAAGCAAAAATAAACTTCTCTATCCAGCTTTTAAAGCCTTTCACAATCTGGACCCAAACTTTCCCGTCCCATTGTCCATTACTTCCCCTCCTACATTCTATGATACAGCTACCCTAACCTATTATTTCCCATGAAACACTCCATCACCCATTTCCATATTTTTGCATTGGCCATCCCCCATGCCTGTAATGCACGCCTCCTTATCTCTGCCCCACTGAATACCTCTCTTTCTTAAGGCCCCAAATCGAGCAACACTTTCCACGTGAAGCCTTTCTGATCTGCTCAGCCGCTAGTGCCCTTCTCAAACTACCTAGAATTTAAATATATTTATCTGCATTTCTTATCATAATATTTATTCTTACACATATCTTTATTGTCTCCCCATAAGCTCCTTGAGAGAAGGAATTATTTCACTCTTTGTTTTTATGTATCCATAGTCTAGCAGGGTACCTGATATATATTAGGCATTTAATAAATACTTAGTGATTGACTGGTTGATTGATTGATAAAGGTCCAGCAGGAAAGGAGGTTACTTCTAGTTGTGTTTTCTTTCCAAGAGAATGCAAGTCCTGAATAGTATAATATTGTAAGATTGGACTTGAGTCCCTGAAGAACAGAAGGAATTCATCAGAATATTGATGGGATTGCCCCAAATACATTTCCCTTTCAAGGGAAGCCTTAAGGGGCCCCCTAGGTGGTGCAGTGGATAGAGGACCAGCCCTGAAGTCAGGAGGACCTGAGTTCAAATCCAGCCTTGGACCAAACACTTGACACTTACTAGCTGGGTGACCCTGGGCAAGTCACTTAACCCCAATTGCCTAAAAAAAAAAAACTGACAAGGGAAGCCTTAAGTACAAAGTAGAGCTATGAGTCTGGAGAACTATAAAAGTCCTCAGGGGAGGGTGGAAGAGAGAAATGTATTTGTTGTTCATGAACTACTATGAGTTTTATGCTATTTTTACATATTCTTTGGGGTAAAATGAAGCTAATCAATATATGATATTCATTGTTACTTTGAATGCTTGTACAAGAGCTTAGGATCCTTTTACCAACATTTGTGGGGATGTAGGCTTGAAATATATTGTGAGGTTCCCAGAGGAAACTCTGAGTAGGTGAAAAAGTCAAAAGGTTACACTGTGATTGTTGTGGAAATAGAAGACCTGGGAAATTCAAACAAGATCCATGTAAGCCAAGAACTTGGAAGCTGAATCATAAGTTACAGTTTTGGGAGGCAAGTCACTTAACCTCATATATAAAATGAGGATAATAATATTGGTATTACCTACCTTGTAGTGTTGTTATAAAAAAATCACTTAGCAAACCTTAGCCTACTATAAAAAAAAGTGAGTTATTATTGTTGGACTATACTGTAAACTGCTGTTCCTTTGAAAGGGTGTGTTATGGTCCAACTTCCTGAGAATCTGCCTGCCATGCACAAAGGAGTCTTATACACCTAAACATACACACACACACACACACACACACACACACACACACACACACACACAGAGCACCATTTCACTGTTAGGAAAAACATGAATCAAAAAGTGGAGGAGTTCCAAAAATAGTAATAATGAAAAGAACAGCTAATAGTTATAGCTATTTAATGTATAAAAAGGACTTTACATGTATATGATCTCGTATGATCTCAAAACAGCCCAGTGAAGTAATTTCTGTGTCATCCTCATTTTACAGTTGTAGGAAACAAGACTGAAAGGGATGACATTACTTTCCTGTGGTTACCTAGCTAATAAGCGAAATAGGTGAGATTTTAACCTACATCTCTCCTGACTTCGAGTTCAGTGTTTTTACTGCTACAACAAGGACTCTAGACCTAGATTAAAAGTTGGACTTTGTACTGAGAAATAATGAGGTTCATGGCTTTGGAAAAAAGTGAACTCAAGGAAAGACTTTTATCCCAAAATGTTAAAAAGCAGCCCTATTATTATAAGAGCTCTACTCCTAAGCAGTTTCCATTCTAATGGAGCAGACAAATACACACACACACACACACACACACACACACACACACACACACACACATATATACATACATACACAGGTACATATATGTGTGTATACACAAATATACATTTATGTACAAAATTAAATAAAGAAAGCAAATGCAAATAAATACACAGTAATTAGGAAGGGCACTTGCACTTGGAGGATCAGCAAATGTTTGCTGTATAAGCTGGTACTTGAACTCTATTATGAGGGAACCTAGGGATTCGCTAAGGCAGAAGTGAGGAGAGAGTATGTTCTAGGTATGGGGTACGGTCAGTGCAAATGCATGATTATGGGATACTGAATGCTGCTGTGAGAAAACAGAGCAAAGGCCAGCTTGGCTGGATCACCAACTAAGGAAGTGAAAGTAATATACTATGAGGCTAGAAAAATCAGTTGGGTTCAAGTTGTAAAGGACTTTAAAATCTAAGTAGGGGAAGTTATATTTTATCTTAGAGTCCAAATGAATTCACTACAATTTATCAAGTAGGAGAGTGGCAGAATAAGATCTATACCTAAGGAAAATCACTTTGGTAGCTATTTAGAGAGGCTGAACTAGAATGGAGAGAGACTTGAGGCAAAGACAGCAGTTAGGAGATCACTGCAATAGTTTAGGAGAGAGACGAAGAGGGCCTGAACTAAGGTGGCTGTGTGAGTAGAGAGAAGGAGTCAAATGTGAGAGATGTTATAGAAATAGGAAAAGTAAGGTTCTGTCAACTGATTGGATAAATGAGGTAAAGGAAAGGGTAAGGTCAAGGATATGTCCAAGATTATAACACTAGGAGACTAGAAGAATGATGATGCGTTTGACGGAAAAGGGGACTTCTGGAGGAGGGATGGGTTTGAAGGTAAAGATAATGAGTTCTCTTCTGGACATGTTGAGTTGAGGTGTTTACAGGCCATCCAGTTTGAAATGTCCAGTAGGCACTTGGTAACACAGATTGAAACTCAGGAGAAAGACTGGGGCTGGACATATAGATCTGAGTTATCTGCAAAGAGATAACGGTTAAACAAATAGGAATTGATGACGTTGCCAAGAGTAAGAGAAGATGAGAAAAGAGAGAACAGGACAGAGCCATAGGGAACACTTACAGTTAAGGGCTATGATAAAGACGGTGAGATAGCAGAGTGAGGAATGGTTAGAAGAAACAGGAGACATCAGTGTCACAAAAACTTGAGAGGAGAGAGTATACCAGAGGACAGGGTGGTAGATAGTATCAAATGCAGCAGACATCACGCAGGATAAGGACTGCCAAAATACTTTTAATTGATTTCACAATTAAGAGATTATAGGTGACTTTGAAGAGCAGTTCCATTTGAGTGGTGACATCAGAAGTCAGATTAAAAAGGACTGAGGAGTGAGTAAGAGGAGAGGAAGTGGAGGCAATGAATATAGATAGCTTTTTCTAGGAGTTTGGCTGAGAAAGGGAGGAAAGATGTAGAATGACAGCTTGAACTACAGTGTAGGTTTTTTTAAACATGAAGAAGACTGGGGGCATGAGTGAAGATGCAAGAAACAAATGCATAAGAAAAAATTTGAAGCTAAAAGAGGGAGGAGATGATTGAGAAGACACGCATAAAAAGCAAGTGAGCAGAGGCTGGCATTGACAACGAGAAGAGCCACCTCATTATAAGAAACTGGAAGAAAGGATGAGAGTAGGACATGTCAAAGGGTTTTGAGATAAAGAGAAGGGGAGAAGAGGTAGCTAAAGACAAACAGCTTTAATTTTCCAAATAAAGTAAGAAGTGTGGTCATTCAGCTCAAGGGAGGAAAGAAAGAAGGGGAGATATGGGAGCCTTGAGGTGGAAGGAAAAGGTTTAGAATATCTTCTGTGAGAGTGATATAGGAAATTAATAAGAGAAATAAAAGGACTGCCTTACTACAGTAAGGATCCCGTTGAAGTGTGATAACATGAATTTAGAGGCAGCTAGATGGCTCAGTGAATATAGTGCTGGACCTAGATTCAGGAAGATCTGAGTCAAATCTGGCCTCAGTCACTTACTAGGTGTATGACCCTGGGTAAGTCACCTAATCTCTGAGAAGGAAATGGCAAACTATTCCAACATCTTTGCCAAGAAAACCCCAGGGACAGTATAGTTCACTGGGTCAGGAAGAGTTGGACACAACTGAACAACAATAACATGAATTTATAGCATACCCAGTCAGCCTGGTTATATGGTTTCCTCCAAGACAGTTCAGCAGTATATGAGTAGGAGCAGAGAAAAAGGAGTTTATGTGAGCATAATCATGGTCTGGGGTTTGACAAAAGATAAGAGTAAAAGAAAAGGGAAATGTGGGTTTCAAAAGTAAATGACAGTGAGGAGTTAAATTGGTTAACTGCAGATTAGGAATAAAATAAAGTGAAATTAGAATGGCATTAATGGTCTGAAAAAGTATTGAAGGACAGAGGGACTTGAGGTTGAGATGGGAGCAAATAATAGGGTTAGGAAAAATAAAGAATAATCAGAGATGGAATGATTGGAGGTTATGGGTATACAGAAAGATGTCACAGGTATTTTTCTGTTTGTTTTGTTTTTGTTTTTCATTAAGGAAGTGGAACACTTGTTGGTAATACTGAAATCCAGAGTATGACCAACCCTACGTCTGACTAAGGTGGAATGAAGAAGAAGGTCATGGGATTTAAGGAGATTGAGAAATTGAGGTGTTAGGGAGTTTGGGGAGCATCATCCTGGATGTTCAAGTCTCCCCCAAGACAGAGCCTTTAGGGAACACCCACAGTTAAGGGCCATGATAAAGAGCAGGAATTGGGAAGGAAAGGAAGGTAGTGAACCAGGGGCTTGGCTCACTGAGAAAAAAAGGCAAAACGAATGGGGGTCAGTAAATAGCAATCACCATGATTTGACTAGAAAGGAACATTTTAATTAAACAAACTTTAAAAGAGGGAGCTGATAAGTGGTGGAAGCAAAGGGACGTCTAGAAGTGACAGTGGGATATTCTAACTCACTGTCCAGGGCCAGTCATTAGAGGCTACTCATAAAGGTCCAGTTAATGCTAGAAAAGATCGCCAGGGATGAAGTGGTCTAGGTGAGCCAGGACTCAAGTAAATGGAAGGAGTGTGAGAGAAATAGGTCCCAGATGAAGGGAATTTTGTTCACCATGGCACAGGAATTCAGGAGGGCACAGTAGATAGGGAAGATAGGATCAGATTAGGACGCAAGATTGAGTTCAATGGGGATAAGAGAATAGGAGGTTGGAGTTGGCAATAGTTTGCTCCTAGATGACCAGTGGTTGAGAGAATGATGGGTAATAGTAGATTGTTAACCAGAGAGGTAGTAGTAAATGGCAGATGAAAAATAATAATATTTACAATTCCAAAAGAGTTTGGGGGAGGTAGGAGGAGGGTAAGGATACAGTACCACAGTCACCTTAGCCATTCCCTTTGGCTAGCTGGATGGGGCCCAGATGGGCAATATTACAGATAGGTCCCTCGCTTGGCCAAGGGTAGTAGGCGTGGCTTGCCCCTAGATACCTCTTCTCCTCCTCGTGCTGTTCCATATGTTTTCTTAAACCTTTCATTACTTCAAATTATTAAAATGCATTTGACTAAACTGCTTGGGAAGGCTGTCCCACTTGTCACTTAAAATACATGGCACATCCTGTTCCCAAACAAATGACTCAGCAAATATGAAGAGCATTATTAGTACTGACAGGGCCAAAGTAAACAGTAAAAACAAGAGTTACTATATATCCAAATTAAGACGGGGGATCGTACAACATTTCTGTTCTTCCCAAGCACGTGACCAGAAAGCTGGGGACCCAACTCTAGCCATGGCCAGTAGGCTCCTCAGTCTACGATATTCAACCGGTGCTGGCTGAAGAGTCAAAGAACCTGAGTTCAAATTCCAGCTCTGTCACCTCCTCCTTGTCTCCCATTAGGTAAGTCATTTAAATTCTTTGGGCCTCAGTTTCCTAATCTCTAAATAACAACAATAATAGCTCACATTTACATAGCACTTTAAGGTTTGCAATGGACTTTACACATATTATTTCCCCATGTTAAAAGTGAAGGAATGGAGTCCAAGAGAGGTCATATAACTTGCCCAAGGTCAGACAGCTAATAAATGTTTGGGGCAGGATTTGAACTCAATTCCTCCTGATTAAAAAATCCCTTACTCTAGCCACCATGATACCTAGCTGCCATGAAATAAAAAAGTTAGACTAAGTGACTTCTGAAGTCTCTTCTAGCTCCAAATCTAGAATTCTGTCATCTTACTTTCACCATAGTAGAAATCTTGTCAAATGATTCTTAGAAAAAGACCAAGATATATAGGAATTTCTGGTCCAGAAAGCCATTCCTAACGGGAGCTTCAGCTATAGTCTCTTCTTCTTGGCAAAATAATATGCCCTCCCCAACTGAAGTTTCCTTTACATTCCCTTTCTGGTTTCTTCACTACCCCCAATTTATTCCTAGGAAAAGCAGAAATGCACTCTTGGTCACCCCCAGGAGCATGATGGGAGTCAAAGTGCTATTCCTATAGACTCATGGGTCAAGTGAAAGTGGAAGCATAGGAGATGGAATTAAGGTGATCTCTGATCTATGTCTCCTCTAGCATTACTCTGAATAATCCATTTGGGATTCTATGTTCAACGACAAATGCAGTTCAAGACACTTCCTAGTCAATAACAATAACGACAACAATAATAACATTTACATATCACTTTAAGATGTACAAAGAGCTTTATATGTATTATCTCATTTGATCTAAAGTATCAACATACTTTTATATGATTTGCGTTCATCAATCAACCAATGAATACGTATTTATTAAGCACCTATTATGCACTGTGTTAGGCATTGGAGGATTCAAAAAAATAGAAATGAACGAGTCCCTCCCCTCAAAGAACTTATAGTCTATGAAAGACATGGCATGCCAAGTCAGGCAGATATATTCTATTTTCAAATATGTCTTGGAAATTTCTTTCTGGAATGAAGAGGGAAAGAAAAAACGTTCAGTTTGTTCCTCTGAGACTTAACTCTGTTCCCAGTTGTTGGGTCTTGCTTGGCCAATTGGAGATAGACTCTTTGTTTTTCTCAGAACCGCATCTTCTCTCAGTGTTCAAAAAAAAAAGTATTGAGATTACTCACCTGTGAGTCAGAAAAGCTAGATGGCACTCCGCCACTGAAGAGCTGTGGGCCCTGGAACCTTGAACTTAGCATTCTCTTCCTCAGCTTTCCCACCTACAAAATGGAATAACAGTTTCTTCTTACGGACAGAGAAACAGAAAGTCTGGACCTGTGATTTCATTAGTATAATGAGATCCTTGGTGGGGAAATTCTCTCTACCAGTCCAGGTTAGCACCTTCTCTGCAACTTACAGATTTGGTCAGTACCTAGATCACTGAGAGGTTAAGTAATTTACCCAGGGTCATACAGCTAGAGTCAGAACTGGAACTCAAGTTTTCCTGGCTCCAAGATGAGAGCTCTAGCTTCCACACCACACTGCCTCTTACCACAATATCTACATTTTGAAGTTTTTATTCAAATGGCAAACAATTAAATGTTTATTTGAAAATGAAATCAAGTATAGCCCCCCTTAAAAAAACATCATAGACCATTCTTATTATACTAGCTCATAAGATATTAGAAAAGAGACCAATTTCCAAAATTCTTAAATGATTAAAAACAGATAAAATAAAGGAATCAGGATGGTGGGAAAGCTTTTTTCTCAAACTAAAATAATGAATGAAAGAGTCTTCAAGGATTGGTTGTTTATGGTTCTACACTCTGGAGACTGAAATTCTTTGTATATAACAGATGGTTTTGTTTACATAGAGAAAATTCAGACCTTGTAAAGGGCTTTTTATTTCCTTTTCCAGTTCTCTCACACACATAAAGTAAAAGAAATATTTGTATGTGTTACATACATGGAAGAGGAAGCATCAGAGAACAGTACTGGAATCAGAAAAATCTGGATTCAAGTTCTGCCTGTGATACATACTAATTTCATGACCATGAGCAAATCACTCAATTCCTCTGTCCCCCAAGCAACTCTCTAAGAGGATAACAGAGGAATCACTAATTTGCCTTGAGGAAGAAAGTGGGTGCTTCGTACATTAACAAAATCTCTCTACAGCAGACTAATATACACACATGAATATATACATATGAACAGAAATATACATATGGACAGTACACATACGTATGCATGTATATATACATAGAGCTCCATGCTCATGTCCATATATATGTAATATGCACACATATGCATAAATGTACACATACTGCATTGTGTACATATATACACATGTGTGTATAATGTGTATACATGCAAATAGTATGTTTACATGTGGACAGTATGCATATGTGTATATATAGAGCTCCACGTTTGTGCCCCCATGCGTGTATATACACATGTATACATACCTTTGTGCATGCTGCCCTGTGCATATACACATGTATACCTATATGTGTGTTTGTACATACTATATATACATATGACCAGTATGTGCACATGTGTACACACATACACACATACTATCTATCTATATAGAGATAGTGTACATACATATTATGTACATATGCATAGAGTCCCATGCTCATGTCCATATGTATATGTATACACACATATCCAATATTGTCTTGCATGTATACATATACACATGTCTACATGAATGTATACATACTGTCTATATATATGCATGTGTGTATTGATCTGGTGTAGAGAGGTTTTTTTTAGGTGACATTGAAGTGGATTTAATTCAGTTTTCTTTTTAAAGACCCCCAAATCTGAAACGGCTTAAAACTTATTTAAAATGAATAAAAATTTTCGTATCAAGCTACTGGTCTCCAGCTCCATTTTCTGTTTTCAACTGTTTTGTTGCAGGTTCTCCTTTTTCATGTTCTTCTCATGTCCTTTTAAAGGATCCTCCAGCATCACCATTTTCCTGTTCTTCATCACTATCAAATTTTGTTTTTTCACCCTGGAATTGTATTTTTCCTTTATCGGGTATACCCTGAACAGCTTTACCACCTCCTCTTCCTTTTCTTTTAAATTTGCGACCTTTTGACTTCAACTTATTTGGGGATTTCTGTTGGTCTTCAATGATTTTTTTTCAAAGCTTCTTTCTCTGTCTCTCCTTCTAATACTTCCCATGTTATATCCTTGCTTCTTAATTTTAAGTCTCCATTATTTGCTTCATTGGCTTTGTCCAGTCCTTCTTTTGTCTTTTCTTTAAATAGGATTTTTCCCTCTTTTGCTCCTCTGATGAAGTCTATTCACTTTATTTCTCCATGATTAGAGAAAAGTGTGTGAAGATCTTCTCTACAGGTTTGATCTTCTAAATCACCAGAAAATTTCAGCAAGCATCCAATCTTTTCATCCAGGGATTTCAATTCAGCATCTTCTGCTTGCCTCTGTTTTTCTTCTTACTCTTATTTAGCTTCTGCTTTAGCTTCTACTTTATTTTGCTTCCTTTCTTCATTCTTTTTTGCAAAGTAATCTTCCTTAAAGAGTATCAGCAGCAGCTCTGTATCTTTGTATTTCTGTCCAGGGGTTTCTATAAACTTCTTGGCAGATTCAACACCATCAAACACAGCAAATATTGATCCCTTAAATGCTTTATGTAATGTTCTCCTCATTTGAATATTTTGTACTTGACCTTTGCCGTCTAACCACTCTTTTATGTCATCAAGGGTTTCATCTGTTGGAAAACCTTTAACATAGGTGGATCTGTTTTTTACTTCATTTTTATATTCATCTGTTACTTCAGGGAGGGGTTTGTTTGGTAATCTTCTGATTTTAGTTATATCCTCACTAACTTCCATGAGTTCTGTCTTTGATTTCTTTAGAGCACTTCTTACCATATGAAAGTCTTTTGTTAGTTTGCTCAATCTCAATTTGTTGGCAAATTTTGGACTCCAGATCAGTCATTTTTTCACTGTCACCATTCTCAGACATTGTGGGAGGCAACCCGTGAGGTTCCGGCAGGGTCTGCAACGCCCTGCCATGATCCCCACGACCCACGAACTCACTCCTCGACTCCCTGTTGCAGTGTATACATATACACATGTATACATACATGTATACATAATGTCTGCATGTATATGTATGTGTGTGTATTAATCTGGTATAGAGAGATTTTATCGATGTACAAAGCACCCAGTGTGGAACCTCTCTTCATATATGTGTATATGTATATATGTATGTAGGTACATTTATGTGTGTCAGTGTGTATACTTTCGGGTGTCCCAAAAGTTTTAGAGCAGCTTAAACTTTAATAACTTAAAACTGCACTAATGTTTTGGGGACATCCTGTCTACCTAAGTTGAAGATGAAGAATTTGCCTATTCTCACGGTCAGCACGTATCTGAGGCAGGACCTCAACTCAGATGACCCTTTCTTCACTCTGCCATGCTGCTTTTAGTAACTGTACTTAAAAAGAGGATTTTTATATTGTTTTGCCTTGCCTTATAGATCATTAAATTGATTTTAATTTCATAGAGCTCCTAAATGATTTATCTCCCTTTTTCCTCCTGTCCTTTATAGAAGAGCTCCATCGTAGTGAGCAATCTCTGAAACGAACAACCTTCAATTCTACCAATATGATCCCCAGATCTTAAAGTGATTGATGGGCCCCGCATTTTAAATACACAAAACCAGGAATTATCGATCTTTTTTTTTTCATCGCAGATTCCTTTGGCAGTTCGGTAAAGCTTAAAGACCCTTTGTCAAAATAACGTTTTCAAATGCATACCACAGGGGCAGTCAGGTGGCACAGTGGGTAGAGCACCAGCACAGAAGTCAGTAGGACCTGAGTTCAAATCCTGCCTCAGACCAAATACTTGACACTCACTAGCTGTGTGGCCCTGGGCAAGTCACTTAACCCCAATTGCCTAAAAAAAAAATGCATACCACAAAATACATAGTGTTGCAAAGGTTAGTAAAAGTAAAGATGTAATTTTTATTCCATACCCCCTGAAATTTATCAATAGACCCCTTGGGGGAAGAAGGTTGGTGGCTCCCAGGAGAAGAAACCTGACTCCAAACTTTGCATTTTAAAAAATGCAAATTCAGTCTCAGACCAGACACCTGACACTTACTAACTGTGTGACCCTGGGCAAGTCACTTAACCCCAATTGCCCCGCAGGACAAAAAAAAAAAAAAGCAAATTCAGGGGCTCCTTAGTCTACCAGTCTCAAAGTGGCTGATTTCCACTGATTTTCACTTTGATATTCACATACAATATCACCTCCTAAAATAGTATTATAGAAAATGAAAAAGAAACCCCAATCTTCTTTCCATCTGAATATTTCAAGCCGTATCCTGTGTAAACTCCTGGCACCAAATGAGCATGATTTAGAGCCCATGGCAAAGATCCAACCCATCATGGTTATTTGTGGTTACCAGATCAAGTTACAAAGAAGAAAAGAAGCAATGAAAAATTGGTAGGACTCTCAAGCTGCCCAAGAAGAGCTCTGACCATGCCTGAAATCTGATCCTTCTGATAACATTAGCACCTGATCAAAGATAATACCAAAACTGGATGGGCACAACCCAGAAACTTTCTTACTCTATTTCAGAAGGTCTAGTGCAGGGGTGGGTAACCTTCAGCCTCAAGGCCACATGTGGCCTTCCAGGTCCTTGGTTGCAGCCTTTTGACTGAGTGCAAGTTTTACAGAACAAATCCTTTTATTAAGGGGATTTGTTCTGTGAAGTTTGGATTCTGTCAAAGCGCCACACTTGAGGACCTAGAGGGCCACAAGTGACCTCGAGGCCACAGGTGCCCCACTCCTAGCCTAGTGCACACTGTGCTCCCTTCACCATCTAGTTTTGAAGCATTATTCCCTTTCAGATCCAAGGGGACAGCTGGCTTATTTGTCTTTGGAGCCAAGCACAAAACCTATTTTTTGGCTGCTAGGTGGTACGGTGAATGGAGTTTTGGACCTGAGTTCAAATCCAGACTCAGACACTTACTAGCTTGTGTGACTCTAGGCAAGTCACTTAATTCTATTTACCTCAATTTTCTCATCTGTAAAATGAGCTGGAGAAGGAAATAGCAAACCACTCTTTGTGTCTTTGCCGAGAAAACCCTAAAAGGGACCACGAAGAGTTCGATATGACTGAAAAATGACTAAGCAACAAAACGAGGGCTCTCTAAAGCTCCCTTCATCGTCACTGATGACAGATTCCCCAGGGAGCGGATCAGTACTAAGGTGTTGCTCTTTAGTTGTATTCAAAC